CAGCCATGGTATTTTAATTTGCATGAATGTGAAATGTGAAATTGTAGGACCTATATATAGTATAACCAACTAATTACAATTTTATGGTGTTTCTTTTCATAAAATAAGGAAGTGTTCGTTAACATTGAAATGGGTTAGGATTATACATATGTTCTGAACTACATTAAATGTAGTTGGGGAGAAATGTACACAAGGTAATGAAATTGACTTCTTAAAGCACACTTTTCTAGAAGTGTAATAGAAAGTGTAATCCTGTTTTTTTTTTCAAAAACCCTTACAATAAGTACATTATGCATCATTTCAAGTTTTTAGAGCATATGGAGAACATTCTTAATTGGAAAGCAAAGGGATTACATGTCAGATTTAAAGATATTAAGCTACTTAGGCGAGTGTTTTTCAGCACGGACAAAATTGCTTGACATTTGTCATTTTTTTCTTGGGTTTTCAGAGACATTTTCACACATACAGTGTATAATCAAATATCTTTTCTGTAACTATCTGCACATTTGCGCAACACTATGATCAAGGCTTAAAGCTAATCATTTGAAGTTTGTGTGAATTTTAAGCCTTAGGCAATATGTTCAAAATCAAGATTTATACACTAACATTTTTTTGGGTGTCCAAACATTATCAAAGGCTTTGTAGATCTAGATGTCAATATTTGCATTTCTGTACAGTACCTGAAAGAAAAAGTGATGTATCTGAAATTAAGTATTTGTATGTGTTAAATGGCCAACAATACTGAATAGAAATTGCACCATGTAACACCAGTTTACCCAGTTTAAGCAGTAAATAACTTCATATAATTAAAATGAGTTCAAGAATCATTAAATTGAACTAGCAATTGTTAAGAACATTTTGCAGAAGTTAAGTGCTGTCCATGGCACTTTATTCACACTATAAACCATTCTGTGAACAAAGTCAGAAGCTTTTATCTACAACACAGCATTGTAGATTTATTGAAGTAGGTGAAGCTAAATTGTATAGAGGAATTAATACTTTATCAGCACTAGACACATCAGCAAAACAGATACCTGGGGCTGTTTCAGCTCTCTTTTCTTTCCCCAGAATATAAATGTTGATGAAGATGGGATTTTTTATTCACAAATTTGACAATAAAAACATTAACCTGAAGGGATTAAATTGGTTTCACTGTACCGTTAAAGGTCAGAATGTTAATGTTATCTGACACTGCATTCAAAGTCTAAGTAAGTGAATATATATTAAAATGATGAATACATCTGAAAAATGAATGAAAAGTCCACAAGCAGCATGATCAACCATGATACGTGCCACTGTATGTGTTTTTGAGAGCTGATTTTATTATCTTATGATTATAAGATTAAAATATACAAATACTAGCAATTAAATTATCCTCAATGACTATAAACCTAATAAGAAATTAAGGTGACCTAACAAATGAAGGTGATTTAAATCAAAGCATGTGTTAAAAAATGAGAGCTCTAGTAAATATTGCAATCATGTAAGGTAGCTAAATATATAGTACGTACTTTATACGCACATACCTTGTAAAACATATTATATCTTAATATCTCTGTTTAGTCCCTCAGTTCTGCACAGTGGAGCAGTGGTTAGCATTGCTGTCTCACAGCTCTGGGGCCCTGGGTTAAGTTCTTGGGGCTCTATCTCCATGGAGACTGCATGTTCTACCCATGATCATGTGTGTTTCCTCTGGGTGATCTAGTTTCCTCCTACAGTCCAAAGACACAGTGGTAGGTTAATTGACTTCTGAGAAAATTGGCTCTGGTGTGAGAGTTACTGTAAATGTTTGTGTCTGTGCATGTCCTGTGATGAACTGGCATCCTGTCCTGGATGTACAGTAGCTGGTCTTGTGACTGTTGCTTGCACAGACAGGCTCTGAGTCTCCCGAGACCTTGTATCCCATAAAGCAGTTAGAAAATGGATTGTTGGATAATTCTTCAGTCTTAATTATATTCCTTATTTAGCATCATTGATGTAGGAGAATAAATAGACATGTTTTTGACTATACTGTGTACAGCAAGGGGCAATTTTCTCATTTTCATGATCAGATAACATAAGATTTAGTCCGAAGCTGATCTGAGGAAGAATTCAACGGAGAGACACAATAAAATTCTATTTTCATGGGATGCATTCCCTGGATGCTGTTATCTCTGCAGTAATGTGGAGTTCTCCCCGCTATATGGGAGATTACATGATAAAATATGAACTAACTGTCTGCATTAGATATTCCCTTTAGTCACTCCGTTAAGTGGCCTGTCTATGCTACAGATTAGTTTGTTACACAATTATACCTTTCCTTGCAGTATAAGAACAGAAGATTATTTACATTGAAAGCGGCCCATCTATCTCATTTGGTTTTCCAGGTGCTTCTTTAACTCACCCACCTCATGTACTTTATATACGGAGTTATGATTAAACCTGCCAAAGGAAATATAACAGTTCTTCAATGTGTAAAGTTTTGGTGATTCCTATAATAACCTTGCTACAGTACTAAGATTGCAGCATTTTATTTTTCAAATAAAGATAAATAAGGAGATAAAAGTAGTAATGCTTCTATTTCTAAAAATATTTCTGAACAGTGGTTATTAAAACAGTCATTAATGTTTTTTTCTATATATATATATTTGTTAATTATTTGCTGTTTGTATTTTGGTTTTTAATACTTTGAATTAGTCTAGATATACAGTACAGTACTGCACTCTGTGAGGCATTTTGGATAATTTCGGTATCTGGTTTTGGTACCCAAAGTACAGACATTAGGTAAGATCAGATGATACTAATAATTACTCATTGAAATTTTAAACTACCTTTTTCATAAACTGCTTTTGTCTTACTCAAATGTACACAATTATAGACTAAAATACATTTTAAGTAATTCTGGCCCAAACTTAACACTGAAAATCATAGGTCAACTGATCAATGCAAAAATGCAGCAGAGGTCAATATTCTTTTTGAATGTCCTAATCTAAAAGTGTGTTATTTTAATTACCACAATAGTTTGAAAGCAAGTACAATGTGTACACCTTATAATACTAACTTTAATTATTGATCATAGCGATGAGGTCTAATGTACAGTGTACATGTTGTTAAATGCACTCCATTATAACTGTTTTTTTAACAAAACCACTATAGATTAAAATGATTAATGTCTCTGTGCATTAACCTTCATACATTTATATCCACCTTTTTAAAACATGATTGGACAGAATGATTATTTTGCTGAAATTATAATAGAAAAAAGTTCTCTGTAGAAAATACTGCATGTGCTTTTTAATAGTGCTTTTTGAGGGTTCAGGAAAGGTTATGTTTCTAGAAAAATATTTGAATCTTTCATGTTGTTTGTTAGTCTTAAAAAATGCTTGAAATGAGTGAAAGAGATCTGAGTTTCAGTTTTAACATTATTATTGGTATGTCAAGCTGTTAATTAAAATCGAATCCTGTGCACAGTGTCTGGATTGTTATTACTTTTCCTTTCTGAAACATCTGCTTTTGCTGCTATACAGACTAGAGCTAAAGGTTAAGTAGGATTTATGATAATACCAGCAATGATCCCTGAATTTACAGCAGCTATGTTTCTCCTCTGACAGAATTCAGTCTTCGTCTCTTCACAGCTGAGCTCACATTCTTATTTGACCTTTTGAATCTGTTTTTTTTCCAGTCTCAGTTTGTGTGACCCTAAAATGATTGCATGAAGATTAAGCATTGTAATTCAAATGGTAGCACCACAATACAAGTATTGTCACCATTGGAGATTAGAATGACTGTTATGCTAATAGTTTGTGAATTTGTAAAATATGTTCTATTGCTTTTTTTTCTTTCGTTGTTTTCCACTTAGCAGTTTTTCTTGCACGATACTGGCTAGGTTTAGTCCTTCCCTTATTTCTTTTTTCAACAGTAGAATACAAACAGTCACCCCTGGCACCCATAGGATCTGTTTCACGTTCTTCTGTTTTAAGCATAACATTATTATTTTCTTTTCTTTAATGTTGAATTTCCCTGTATCTTTCCTGTTGTTCTTCGGAATGAAAAACAGTCTGAAAAGTGAGTTTTGAAACTTAAAGGAGATCACCGTTTCTATAGTGACTATAATACAGCTTTTGTACAGACGTTGTGAAATCTCCTAACAGACAGAAGCATGCCCTAGTACAGTATTATGTTACAAATACGTTGACTAATTCTGTCGTCTTTACTTCACCTTAACTTTATCCGGTAAACTATACTTACTGAAAATCATTTTTAAAATTCCTTCTGTATATGACTTGACTCCTGGTTTCATGAACGTGTTAGCAGCTGATTTCAGAAAATGAAACTCTGTGAGCAGATGTTGGTGTGTGTGGTTGTTCCGTGGTAGAGGCGGAATAGGTCAAACGGTCCAAAACTAGCTCTTTGCAATTTTACAACGAATGTTGTATTATTTTCTATTTGTGCATTTAAAAATGAAAAACAGAGAACGCCATGCGTATTTGCTTTTATTCTCTGAAACGTCACACCAGTCACCACATCATGTGCTGTACCCAGCTCCAGTATTTTGCGAGATTTTCAGTTATTAAATTTAGGTCGGTGGCATCACGAACTTATGAAAGATCTTCTTCACATTTGTTATCTACGCTATATTTACAGAATTTAACTTATTTGTGGAGCAAAAACTGTATGGTCCCGCAATTTTCTTCCGGTAAAAATAAGAAGGGACACTGTTGCCTAGGTTTCAGCACCTTGGCCAGTTCCCGATCTGTCCCAACTATATTTACAATCGTACAATTGTAATACAACTGAACACGAAGACCTACAGTACATTTTGTTTTTTCTTTCCGCTCAGTATTTATACTGGAAAATGCGCTGAAGTTTCGATGTACTGTCTTGAGGGATATTTTCTTTTCTTTTTTAGTTATTTTAACACACCGTAAATGAAATAAGGGGAAAATAATCTAAACCTCCAGTATATTAGGCATTTTGCGCCTCCCCCCCCCCCGTGCTGTCTGAACAATGGTCTCTTCCTTCCAAGGAGGGAAACGAACTGAATTTGACAATTTGATTTTGCCCCAGATGTGCGGATCATAGGGACGCTGCAGTAGAGACCAGTTGGGATCCTGACCGCTTCCTGTCGGCTCAGACAGAGCAAGAGAGGGGGGAGAAAAAAAATCACAAGGCATTTAAGCCTGCTGGTTGGGTGCCATTATCAGCTGTAGGCTTGCACCTATGTAGGTTGTGCTTTTGCAGAATGTGAATCACAACCTTCAGGTATCTCCGCAGTCTCCTAGACTTCTCCGAATCGTGACAGTTCCATTTCTGTCTGCCTCCAGTTCAAGATTTTGCTTGCGATAACTCGGCGGCTGCGCTGCCAACAGTGCCGCACGGAGCCAAGCGCTCGTCCGAGTGGAATGCATCCTCTGCAGTTAGGAAAATAAGACTAAAGAAGTTGTAAATCCCCGATTTCACAATGACAGCAACCAAGGAGCAACATAACCAAAGAGGAAGCCAGCAGCAAGAGCAGGTAAATAATTTCAATAGCCGTGTAGGCTGTGAAACGCCATGCAAACTTTAGTCTTCGGACCCGATAACCAATTGACTGTGCCGTGCCAGAAGTAAAAGTGTCGTCGTTCTTCAGATAAACATTTCAGATCTCAATGTCATTGCTGATGTCCAGATTTGCCAGATGTGACGGGAGTCTTGTAGATCCGCTGATGAACGCATTAGGTCCGGCGGCTTTTGAGAAACCGCTTGTGGAAAAAAGAATTGATTGAAATGTTCGTAACACACATTAAAAGTGATGCCGGCGTGCCAATATAAGCTACCCATCGAGGGGTTAAAGATAGGATTTGACTGTTGTACTGTGTGGCTCGAAAAAACAGTGCCCTCGTGTATTTAGCACTAGTGTGAAGGTAGTCGTAGACCGAAGTTCCTTGACCTTATGAAAAAGCTGGTTTTCAGAATTAAACAGCGGAGCTTGCGTGGTTGCATCTTTAACGAGTAGAGTCTTAACTAACCATTTGGTACTATTTGCCTTTTAGCTTATACGGCACATATTCGAGTCGTTAGGAAGAATTACAATACATGATTCAGCAGATGTGATGCACGTCATCATTATATCAATTAGTCACCCAAAGAATATACTGTCAGCAGTCAGGTCAATGAATAATTAGTTATCTCCGGGGATAAGGGAGTTTATACTGCCAGAGATGGTGCTGTGAGCTCATGGTAGAGACTATTGTAATTGTCTGGTTGTCATTCAATTTATCAATTGATTCTAATCCCTTTAAAGTGTCGTGCCACTAGATTTACTTGCACTTGATTTCACGCGAAGGATGTTTTACCGTATGTGATGATGGTACAATTCTGTAAAACATGTCAAAGGGAATGTGTACGTTTACAAGCTACGAAGCGCGTCTGAAAGATAGGGTTATTTATATGCAATGCACATACAGTAAGCTTATCTAATTAAAAGCAGACTTTTATGCTGTGTACACAACAGTTCCTCTCAGTAAATCTGTTCGGGCCCGTGTCAGGCCTGCATTTGCGTGCAGAATTTAAACGGTACCGATAACTAATCTCAAGGGAGCGGGCTAAAGCAGTCAAGAGTTGCCGAGAAAGCCGGCAACTTGACGACAGCACCAAGACAGAAGGACTGTTGCTGTGTTATAGTGTGCAGAAAACTAACTCTATTTACTGAATTATTGATTACAGCTTTTTAAATTTTTAATACTTATTATAAATGCCGCGTGCGCTGTAATTTTCTGATTGATGTATTATGTAAAATTACTAGTTTTCAACATGAAGATACCGCTTCTAAGGCGAGCTGTTGTCTGCTCTTGCAGTGTGTTTTGTTCCACAAAAAAATACCGTCCCTTTGAGGCTGTTTGGGGGAGGGAGAATCGCAAAGCCCTTAATGCTATTGGGATCAGGAAAATGGGCAAATTATTAACTAAGGAATGTGCTGAAAGTAATGACTAATCTTAAAATGCCCATTTCAATTCAAAGATAAGCAATTTACTAATCTCTAGATTTAAAAGGTTATTGGCCTCATTTGAATTAAGTGTAATTGCCATTTTAATAAAAGTGATGGAAAAATGCTTCTCACGTTCTCCTGTATACTCCTGTAAGAAGCTAACGTGCAGTATAATGTAAGTTCTCAGTCAAATTATTGCAGCAGAATTTTCTTTCACTGCAGACTAGGGCCACCAACTCAAATATGCTTTACAACAGGGATTATACATACTTCTTCAACACAAAGTGTTCTTTTTTGGCTTTTGTCCTAAAGTGAGAATAATATTTGGTTTTTTTTTTTTGTTGTTTTAAGGCTGTCCTGCTGTCATACAGACTTCAGCTTATTTAGTCCTCAGCCGAGTTTTCTACCTAGCCACAATAGCAATGGGGCAGCTCTGTGCTGGAAATGATACATTGCACTGCTGAAAAGTGTTTGAATAGTTTAGCATGTCCAAAGGGGGAAAAAAACGACTGTATTTGGCAAGCGATACAAGGCCTTGTGTGCTGCAACCTGCAGTATGTTGGAGATGCAATGTCACTCATTTCAGAATCTATACCATTTGCAAAGGTGCTTGAGGATCCCAGTGAAAAAAAAGTCTGTTTTTTGGTTAGTGATTTAAACTTGCTAATGTTGAAATGGATGCTAAATGGAAGTCTTACATACTCTGTGCATAGATAATAATGAGTTATTGGCATGTTGGGTAGCATTCCTGTATCACTGCACTGGGGCTCTTGATCCAAATCCTGGTTGTGCTACAGTATCTGTGTGGATTTCTGTTCTCCCTACTGCGGGCTTCTTCCAGGTTCTTCGGTTTCTACAGAGTCCAGAAACATACTGGTGGCTGATTTGGCTTCTGGGTAAACTGGCCCTGGTGTGAATGCGTGCGTGAGTGCGTCTGAGTCCCTGTGATGGATGGGCGTCTCGTCCGGGGTATACAGTGTATTGCCCCGCGCCCTTTGCTTGCTGGGATAGGCTCTGTATTGGATAAAGGGGTAAGAAAATGGTTGGAGGGATGGGTTTTAGAAAAATTAAGGGTATGCAATTTGGATATTGATTTAATGTTCCTAACACCATGTTTGATTCATTGATCATGAACAATAGGTGTACTCTCTGGGTTTTGTCCAGAACACTGTGATGGATCTCAGTGAGCGTGGCACAGACCTGCAGACTATTGTGTCTTAGTAGCAATGAGCAACAGGTCAGTTGATGGGATGGTCTATGTGTGCTGGTCTGGGCAGGAATGCCTAGTAACTACAGAATTTATAGTGATTGACAGCAAGCTGTCAGCATACAACTACCGTACATAGACCGAGTACTGGGACCTCACTTGGTGTTCAGGTAAGAACACCTTACTTGTAAGATGGGAACATGACAGCTGTGGTGTGGATGCGCCAATGTGTCAGATGGGGTGAGAGCCGATGTGACAGCGAGAGCACAGAGACGAGTGAGCAGACACGTTCTTGTCAAGCCTTGAGAGAAGAATGGACCAGGGTCCCACAAGACAAAGCACTCATCGCGGCTGCATAGCTTGATGTGCTTCCACAAGTGGCCACATTGCACTGTGAATTTCCTAGTCGACCCCTTATTGATCCTCACTTGGCTCATGTTGACGGAATAATGGATTTACCTGTGTCGTGCCTGGACAATAATCTTATTTTGCAATAGGTGTACAAACATTTGATCTTTTTCCTTATAATAGCTTTGTGTAATTGGTGCAGTTGTAAAATGATCACTTTTAATGCTCCATATATGTATATTGGTTTTGGATACTAGTTGTTTTTTTCAATCTGATTCCCTGGCTTCTTTCAAGAGGTGGCTGGGAATGAGATCCTTAGATCAATTAGCTACTGGTATACAAACAAGCTTGTTGGGCCAAAAGGCCCCCCTGGTTTATAACCTTTCTTATCTTCTTAAACAGAATACAAAAAAAAAGGTTCTCAAAGAGAGCTTCTTAAACTAGTCCTTAAAAAGACATTTAAAGCATGAATTTAAATGTGTAAACTTTAACAGATTAAAGCTTTTCCATTATATGTTTTTTGTTTATGTGTGTATTATTTTGGTCACTGAACATTGATTGGCAGTGTCCAGCAATCAGTTGTAGTTTTTATTTAAATAATTTGAACAGCTGATATAGTTTATTCTATTACTATGGGATTTATAGCGTTGTGACGGACAAATATTTTTTAAATCATCACCTTGACAAGAGCTTGCTGTTCTTAGGGAAGACATGGGGGCTGATGAAAAATTGCCTGGAGAAAAAAGCACCAATGAATGAGAAAACCAGATAACAGTACGAGTCAATGCTGTTTCAGCTGCCATCTCAGATTACCAAAATAAATTAGATTCTTTGATGAAAAAAACAAAGAAGAAACGCCAAGAAATAGCAGAATTAGATAAATGTAAAGTTTCCCACTGTGATGCCCAAATTATTATCGTTTTGAACTGAGTTTGTGTAATCTCACAAAAGAGTGAAATGTCGTTCAATGTCATAAAAATCTCCGTGAATTCAGGTATCTGCAAATGATTACAAAACAGGCTGCCCCATCATCAAAATACGGTTGCCGTGACGGTTAACCCTATTTGGAAATCAGAAATACAGAATAAATCTAAAACATGCACACACACAAAAAATAGTAAAACCAACACAGTTGCATTGAACATTTGATACCCTACGAAATGATTAGAACACCATTCTGACTTCCTCAAAGGAATGGCTGGATAAGATTCTAACACACAAAGCGCTTTGTTGGACTGAATGGCCTTCACTTGTTTGTTACTGTTTTTATTAAATGTAGCACTGTGGTGTGAGTGGTTCTCCTTGTAGTTAAAAGCATCTCTCAGATAACCCGAGACATCTTCTTAGTATGATTGGTAATGCATTGCTTAGTAACAACATGTTTTAGTGTGGGAACACTGTGTTTGTTAATATCACAACTGTGAAGGCTATAAAAGAACCAGATAATGTTATGACCTCCAAAATATGTGTCTGTGCTGCTTGTAGGACTAAATATAATTGATTGCTTTTCATACTTGAGTTATGTTACAATACTTGTTTATAATATATAAGCATGTGTATTATTCCTGAAATAGATGGTCTGTCTACATCTGAACTAGTCCCCCTAGAAAAGACTAATTACCACGAAGTGAAAAGCTGTAAAGTGAGACTTTTTTGGACTTGCAGAAATTGAATAACTAATTATTTTGGTGTTTAATTTTAAATTGATGAAGCATTTATTATTCATACTAACAATGTAGAGAATGCTACATGTATGCTTATCTTAAATGATCGAAATTAAGTAATAATGCTGTCTTCCCTGTGGTGGACTGCTATCCTGTCCAGCGCATATTCCACATGGTGCCCGTTACTCGCCAGTATAGGCTCTGGCTCACTTGCAACCCTGAATTGGATAATGGGGTTAGAATGTAAGAATGCTAGTTTTCTAATTTATTCCTGTTGGTTACTTCATTCAGTTCTGTAAACACTTAATGTTCCCATTCCTATATTCTCC